GAAGGAGTAATTCACAATTTATGATAAATAACAATAAAGTGGTGTCTACACTTTTGGATGTAATTCAGAAATTAGAAAGAAGCTTCTATTTATATAATCCCATATCAGAAATTCTGTTAATATAGAATGTGTGACTCACAAAGGCAGTGCTGTGTTTTGTCCTAGTTAGTGGGAAGCAGAATTAATGTCATATTGGAAGTACTTTCAGGCTTTTTCGATCGCAGTATTACTTTGAGGGTATATCGTGTTTCAGGTCCTGTTAAAGTGCTGGAAGAATTCATAGTTAAAATAATATCTCCAGTTTGTCATGATGGATCATGTGTGTTTATTCAGTCACTGAGTCCTATCTGAGTCTTTGTGACCCTGTGGACTGCAACCTGCCAGGCTCCCCTATTCATGGGGTTTTACAGGCAAGAATACTGGTGCATACGTGCATGCTTAGTCACTTCAGTCATGTCTGACTATTTGTTACTCTGTGGACTGTAGCCCACCAGGATCCTCTGTCCATGGGATTCTCCAGGCAAGAATACTGGAGTGGGTTGCCTTGCCCTCCCTCCTCCAAGAGATTTTCGCAATCCAGGAATCAAACCTGAGTCTCCTGTGTCTTTTGCATTGGCAGGTGGATTCTTTGCCACTGAGCCACCCGGGAATCCAAACTGTCTTGTAAACTTTTGTTTGTCTGTCTTATCACTTCAAAAATAAAAGAGGATAAAACTTAAACAGAAAATAGAACAGCAATGTGGAGAGCAAAGGTATGTTGGTTAAAGTGCAGTAGCAGTTGACCAAGCCCTAAATAAGTAAGTACTGAATACACTTAAGAACAGAGCATGGAGGAAAATTTTCTTAAGGGTTAGACCCGAAAAATGCTAAATTGCAGTAAGAGAAATAGATGTCCTCTCTGATGTAATAAATAAATATCAAATGGAATAGATTCAAGTTCTAGGTTTTACCAGCTTGAGCACTGTAATAAGTCATTGGGATATTAATGTTAAATTTTCCTTTGAACACCTCTTTGGAAAAGTAAAGCTTTCACATCTGTTCCTCTAACATTTTTTTTTCCTCCTTGAAAAATGGATGATATTTTCTATTCCAGTCTCTTGTTTCTGTCTCTTCTAATAATGCCACATCCACAACATTGTTGTTCCTGCAAAAACTCTAACTCCTAAATCTAACAAGTGGGATTCTGCACTCCATGCTGGAGCAAGCAGAATACTCTTCTCCAAACTTGGGGTTCCCAAGCAGTACAGGTGATGTTTTGGGCCCTAGAGTGTCCCTTATGAGAATGGTCCATTAGAGTTTAGCTTGGGGCTTTCCTGGTGGCTCGGCGGTTAAGAATCTGCCTGCAATTCATAGGACATAAGAGACACAGATTCAATCCCTGGACTGGGAAGATTCCCTAGAGGAGGGCATGGCAATCCACTCCGGTATTCTTGCCTGGAGAATCCCATGTACAGAGAAGCCTGGCGGGCTACAGTCCATGGGGTCGCACAGAGTCGGACACGACTGAAGTGACTGAGCACATACAGAGTTCAGCTTTCTTCTGTCTCACTTGAGAGAATCAGGCTAGAGGCAGGTGGAGAAAGAGAGCCTGTGACCTCCTGCATTTTTCTCCTCCCCAGCTCTCCTCGGGATGACCTTGAGCAGACAAACAAAGCAAAGCAATCCCACTCTTCCTTTTAGACTTTAATCAAAGGTTTTCCTCCCGAAAGTGGAGGGAGTGGGGGCTGCTAGGCTCGGCTTCCCAGCTGGCAGGTTTGAAGGTGGAATATTAAGCCTGTGATCACAGTCACAGCTTCTGAGGGATTTCCTCACTTAGTACTGTGGATCAAATCAATTTCTACTACATTCTGGGCCATGAACTAGAACTTAATTTTTTTCAGAGCCTTATTCTATAAGGAGAGATACAGCTTTCTGGGTAATATATTGATCTCTTTTTAAATATTTGAAATTTGAGAAGATTCAAATATACCAAATGAACAGAGACTCATATAACTGACACCCAACTTGTACCCCAAGGTATAAAAGATATTAACATTTGGCAATATCTGATCCTTTAAAGCACTTATTATTGGCAGGTTTTATAAAACTCTTGTTATTATTAACTCTTGGAATATGAAACCTAACAAAAGACAACTGTAACTGTAGAAACACAAGGAAATTCCTGTGCTCCCAGTGTAAACAGTCTCCTAATCAGTATCTTCCCAGAAGTCAGTATTTGGCCATGCCCTAGCTAGTGTTCTAATTCACTGGTTGGGGTTGAAAAGTTTCATTTTACTAGATTTTGACAAAGCATATTGCCATTTTTTTTTTACTCCGCCTATGTAGAAGAGTACCCTTTTTTCACATGCTCAATAAAATGTATATTGTAAGCCTTAATTTGTTTTCCCATCCACCAACAAGTATGAAATATCTCATTGTTTACATTGTACTTTCTCCAATTATTAGTAAAGTCAAGCATCTTATGTGTTTATCAATAATACGGGATTTCCTTTCTGTGAAGTGCATTTTCTAATCTTTTATCTATTTTTAATTTTTTTTCTTATTGATTTGTAAGAGTATTTATCTTACATACATGTGGGAATACCAATCATTGATCAGTTATAAAAAAAGGGACAAAGATTTGTGCATATAAATGCTACTGATGCTATCATACACGTCTGTAAAATTGTTGATAGCCATGATGGCAGCTTTGATATCAGATAGGATTAATATTATTTGAAATTTGGTGTAAGAAAAGAAAGGAATTTTTTAATTTAAGGAAGACACTCATATGAAAATGATAGATACATACAAAAATGTTTTCATGCTTAAAAAGGTCAGTCTCAATGATCTAGATTAGTTAATCATGTAAAACAGTTAATTACCAACACAAATGGATAACTGAAATGGTTTTAGCTTAATGTGGTAGTTTTTAGAAATATATTTTTATTTGAATCATATTTTGCAGCAATTCAGGTCAATATCTCCCAGTTCCTTTCATATAAAAGCAGTTCAAAGGCCCAAGTGAAAAATTCAAATAGTATACAGAACCAACTATAGTAATTTACTCACAGAGAAAATTTACCCCTTGCAATGCTTTGGTTTTGATAATTTCCATTGAAAGAGTGGTTACTGTGTTTTTTTCTAACAGTCCTCTTTTAAAAATAATGTTTGACTTTTCCTAGTAGAAATACAATTTTTAAGGAGTGTTTTATCTTGAATAACCCTTGAGAATAAAGTAATCAAGCAAGGTTTCTCATGATAGGGATTAAAATGGATGTTAAAATATACAGTGAGGATGAAAATGGCTGGATGGCATCACCAACACAATGGACATGGGTTTGGGTGAACTCCAGGAGTTGGTGATGGCCAGGGAGGCCTGGCATGCTGCAGTTCATGGGGTCACAAAGTGTTGGACATGACTGAATGACTGAACTGAACTGAGGATGAAAATGAGCATCATGATGAGTTCATGAAATGAGTTCAGAAATAGAAAGAGGTGAATGGTGTTTCTACTTTATTGTCCTTATAAATAAAATAAATTGTGCTTCTGACTTTCATTTGCCATGTGATTGATTTTTACAAGATAACAGTTGAAAAAATTGAGTTATAACTTTCAGGGATAAGTGAATCAGCAGCATTTCTTAAGTAGCCACTAAGTGTACTTTCTACAAACTTCCAGTTTGTATGCAGGTGTCCTCATTTAAGGAAAGAGGGGCCTGCATTTTTTTTTTTTCACTTTCTTTTTTTTTTTAAATTTTTTATTTTATTTATTTATTTATTTATTTTTCCATTTATTTTTATTAGTTGGAGGCTAATTACTTTACATCATTACAGTAGTTTTTGTCATACAATTTTGTCATACATTGAAATGAATTAGCCATGGATTTACATGTATTCCCCATCCCGGTCCCCCCTCCCACCTCCCTCTCCACCCAATCCCTCTGGGTCTTCCCAGTGCACCAGGCCCAAGCACTTGTCTCATGTACCAGCCACTATGGAAAACAGTGTGGAGATTTCTTAAAAAGCTGGAAAGGGTGCCTGCATTTTAAAACGTTCATATGTATCCTCTGGCATATCAACAAAGTCCTGGTAAAATGGAACAGAATCAAATTTATTTTTGAGTCCATTGGTCTCTTTCTGTAGTCTTTCTGGGATTTCTCTCTCCCTTCTTAGACAGTCTTTCCACAAGTCTCCCTCCACAACCTTTTCCCCACCTTCAAAATCTCAAGACCCGCATTCCAGAAAGAAGTGGAAGGGATTAGATCATTTTGTTCATATTTTACTATGCAATGATGTAGATTAAGTCTGCTACTCAATCAGTTGTGACTTCAGCGTCTGATATTAGTTGCATATTTATTGAGGCTTTTTAAGGACAGGTGCTATCCAGTGCATTTGTATGTGTTACCTCACTGAACCCCAAGGTAGGATTTACTATTATACTTTATAGACAAAGAAACAGATTTACAAGGTTTAAGAAAAGATAGTAGGTTTTCTAGGTGCCTCAGTGGTAAAGAATCCACCTGCCAAGCAGGAGAAAAGTGTTTGATTCCTGGGTCAGGAAGGAAATGGCAACCCACTCCAGTATTCTTGCCTGGGAAATCCCATAGACAGAAGAGCCTGGTGGGCTACAGTCCATAGAGTCGGACACGACTTAGTGAGTAAAAGCAGCAGCAGCAAGAAAGCATGGTCAAGGTTTCCCAGCTAGGAGTTAGCAGAAATGAAGCTCAACTTAGGGTAACATGAAACCTGGACTCACATACAGTATACCACACTAACTTGGGCAGGTTTCACAAACTTGCTCTTTTGCAGACCATCACCTTTCATAGAGTAATGATTTCCTCCCTCTACTGAAGGTAAGTGTTGCAAAGATCACTAAATTGGGTCTATCCCCTACCGGACAGGTGGACACCAGGCTCCATTTGAATGTTGGAATGCAACCTGCCACCTTCCCTAAGAGAAACAAGGAAGCATGAAAGAAAGACTGCCTAATCCCCTGCTTTTCACTTTGTTTATACCAGTGATGCCACGCTTTGCTGAACAAGTGGAGGTTGCCATTGAAGCCCTGAGTGCCAACGTCCCTCAGCCATTTGAGGAGAACGAGTTCATCGATGCCTCTCGCCTGGTATACGACGGCGTTCGGGACATCAGAAAGGCTGTGCTGATGATCAGGGTATGTGAGGTCTCTGTAGCTTGGAGTTGATTGGAGTGTCCAGTAGGGTCCCCAAATAATTTACTCTTGTACTTTTTCCCCCTTGATTATTTAGTTTAACTTAGTAAGCTGTTTAGCTCCTCATTTAGTCAGATAAGGGGGACTTTTTACTTATAAAGGGATTAGTGATCCCAACAAGTCTAGATCAGCACTGAATGTCCTGAAGGGTCATGTCCTGCCTGCTTCTTCCACACATTATTACCTTAATTTGATACCCACTTAGGGGTGCCCTTGCCATTCCCCTTTGCTAACACCATTTCCCATTATAAACAGAAAGCCATGTGATGGAAGAAAATGAAGATCACTCAGCTTAGTAGTATTAGTAATCATGATAATGATAATAATAATGATAATGCAATAAAGTGATAGATAGCTACATTCTTCTTGTAACAGATCATTAAGATATAAATAAGGCTAAATAATCTTTCAGCAAACCTCTCCTATCACCTTTCCTACTATCTTCCCATCCCTCAGTCTTCTGATTTTGGGTAGCTGTGAGTCTTCCAAACCATTTGCCTAAATGATTAGACACACATGAGAAAACATAATATAACAGATTTCAAAAACTCAGTTAAGTGTTACTTACAACTTGCTTTGTTTGCCCACAGTGTGCCTTTGTCTATCTCTGTGAAGATGATAGCTTACCTTATTCTATTGAACAACTGTGTAATATTCCATCATAAGTTGAGAATTTTTTCTCCTTGCCTTATTGACAGTTCAGTATAGTAGGTTCCAAATGCTTTTCTTAGCCACAGAACTCTTTCATAAAATAAACTTAGGTTGATGACACAGATATGTTTGTGGCTATTAGGATTGAGGCAGAGATGATGAGTCTGCAGTGCTCATCTTGCTATCCTATGGAAATATATGTGAGCCACATTTACAATTTCAGTTTTTGCTAGGTATGTTGATAAGGAAAAAAAAAAAAAGATGAAATTAGTTGTAAGAACGTCTTTTATTTACTCCAATCAATATCCAAAGGTAGCATTTCAACATGTGGCACCAGCTGCATTTAAAGTTCTCAATAGCTCCATGTATCTGCAGCCACCATTTTGGATGAGGCAGCCCTAGACTATATCTCCATCCTCAACCTTCATTGTTGTCTCTGGGGTTGCTCAATGAACTATACGTTAATCACTGAGTGCATCTTGAAAAACTTTCTCTCGGGGTGACCACTGAGCATCTAAACCAACATCCCCTCAAACACAGCAAAACAGTAACAATTAATTTATTTTCAATCAATTTATTTTCTGTGTGCAATCCCTCAATACTTCAAGAAGTATCTGTGATTTATTGGTCTCTCTGGACAATACACACCTTTAAGGAGTTCATATATGGCATTAATTCTCCTCCAAATTTGGGTATCTTCGAAATCATGAAGTCATTAAACCTATGTGTATCCTCTTTGACTGTGGTATCCAGGACACAGCATGATGCTTCCAAGGTAATCTGAGCAGGCAGAGTCGAACATCACCAGAAAGAGTCTCTCTTCCTTCTTTATGGACATTAATGATTCTCCTGAAACATTCAGCTACCTTCTTTGCTGGGGAGCAACGATAGCATCTTCTTTTCTTCTCATCTTTAAGCAACTTGATTTTCCATGTTAAATACGTCTCTCTTTCATAATAATTCCATGATTAATTCAAAGTGTTCAGAGAATTGTGTAAGTTGTAGTAGACAGTACTAAATATATATAACAATGTGGAATTCAGTTTTGAACAAGACAGTCAGATGTATTTCCTGTTCTTCCAACTTTCCTATTTTAGATCTGTCAAACTCTTACTATCTTTCAAGACCTGGCTAAAATCTTCTTTCCCTAAATTTTCTCCCTCAAAAATACTGATTCTATTCTTTAACTACCTATAACTCTTTCTGCTGTGATTGTGATCTTTACACTATTTCTTCTGAGGTTTATTACTTTCTTTAGGGACTTCCCTGGTGGCTCAGGGGTAAAGAACCACTTGCATTGGCAGGAAACATGAGTTTGATCCCTGGGTTGGGAAGACTCCCTGGAGAAGGAAATGGCAACCTACTCCAGTATTTTTGTCTGGGAGATCCCATGGACAGAGAGGCCTGCTGGGCTGCAATCCATGGGGTCACAAAAGAGTTGGACACGACTTAGCCACTGAAGAAGGAAAGTGGCAGCCACTCCAGTATTTTGCCTGGGAGATTCCATGGACAGAGGAGTCTGGAGGGATACAGTCCATGGTGTCACAAGAGTTGGACACAAATTAGCTACCAGATGACAGCAACTACCTTCTTCAGGCTGAAATTTTGGAAAGCAAAAGCTGCATTTTTCCCCTTCATTGTGATGCATTGTTTGGTACACTGCTTAATACTATGTGTGATGGACTTTCCTGACTCTAGGCTCCTGATGCAGGAGACCCCGAGTTTAATCCCTGGTCAGAGAACTAGATTCCCCATGCGGCAATTAAGACCCAGCACAGCCAACAAATAAATAAATAAAAGTAAATATTTAAAAAAAATACGATGTGTGTTAGGGAGAAAGAGAAACAGATACCTCCGGAGATAGAAAGGTGACAGAGGGAAAAGTATGAGAATTAGAGGAGAAAGGCTTTTAAATAGGCTTTTAAACCTGTATTTTTCCCATTATATACTAACTTGTGAAATAATAGACCATGAGAGTTATGTTTTCAAAGCATTTGGCACTAAATTCCACTATAATTCTCAAGACATATTCCCTTTTTTGCCATTTTTCTGCTTTGTTAGCCATCACATTTTTGTGACAACTATTCATCTGGGAGGCTGAGCAAATTTATAGCCATCATTCACTTATTCATTCATGAGCTGTAAAAAAACATAATTTAGGTAAAAATGCCATATCTTTGTTACATAAAGTGTCATTCCTCCATCTTGACATTTCAAGTGATTTGATCAGATGGATTTCACACCACTTAAAACAGAAAGGGAGAAATGTATGGTATGTACAAATTGTTATTTTAAAAGTCTTTCTCCATTCAGCACCAAAATGGCTTCATTTTATACTTAAATTCTTGGTTTGCTTTCTATGTATGATAGTTAAATCTGATTTAAAAACATCATTGCACTGAATCAGGTGAAAGACAGTAAGACAAGTGAAGCTCTTTCCCAGCTAAACTGGCCATGCCTTCTTCGCTGTCAAAGTGTTGATTATGCTTTGGAAAAATAAGGATTATTTTTCCCAAAAATAAATGCAGAAAGGACCTTGAAAGGTCAGATTCCCCATCACCTTGCCTTTCAGCAATCAATACATATTTAATGGTGATGTTAGTATGTAGGCGCCCCAGGCCAGCTCAAGGCAACCCTCGGAAGCAAACAAAGCTTGTCCTTCTGGTATTTCAATCTCACCTTTCAGGCTCTTACTTCTCTTTGGGAGCAGGTCAACTCTGCTTCTCTTTCATACAACTTTTTTTGTTTGCTTCTTGCTGAAGCTTGTCCTTGGTGATCTATCAGCTACACAGGAATTTTCTGATTACCTTAACATAGTAGTCTAAAAAATGAATAGGCAAATATGGCTCACCAGAATTTATTTGATTTTCATTATTTGCAGTAGTTGCCTTCAATGAACCCTGAATTAAGGAATATGGAATCATTGCTCCTAGGGAAAATTTAAGGTTAGGTTCCTGTGAGCCTCTGGTCACATTTTCATCCACTGATCAATATATTACCTTGTTTAATGTGTGTTTTTGTTTAAAGACATTTTATTTAATGTATATTGTTGATACATATACATCAAACTCACAGCCAAAAGAATGAAAAAGAAAGAAAGACAGTGTAATCACTCAGTCATGTCCGACTCTTCGCGACCCTGTGGACTGCAGCCCACCAGCCTCCTCTGTCCATGGGATTCTCCAGATGAGAATAGTACAGTGGGTTGCCATGCTCTTCTCCAGGGGATATTCCTGACCCAGCGATTGAACCCAGGTCTCCTGCATTACAGGCAGATCTTTACCATCTGAGCCCAGGGACAGCCAATCACACTATTACTCAGGCCTGAAAGAAGCTTATCTAATGCATTTTCTCTGGAAGGTGCAACATAACCTTCTTGCATGTCGAAATTCTAAACAACACCTCAGCACTATACTTGGAAGCCATTTTAAGCAGAGAAATAACCCAAAGCACAAAAATGAAAAGTGTGGCACTAAACAGACTGCAAAAAGGATTCTTATTTATAGTATAAAAGTTGAAATAAGAAAGCAGAAGATTGTACTGTTTGACTTCAGCTGGAAATTTGCATGTTGAGTGACTCAAAAGTTTTTGCCACATTGTGCACACACACGTCTGTGAATTACTACAAAAATATTAATTTAGGGATTACAGAGAAACTTTGGTGAGTAGACAAATTCTCAAATAAAGAATCGTCAAATAAGGAGGATCAAGGCTATATTTAATACACAAGGAGTTAAACATTTAATGTTGGAAAGTAAAGTAGGTAGGTACCAGAGAAGGTGATAATATCTTAGTGTCAGAATAACTGTATTCAAACAAACATAGTTACCTGTCACAGAATGACCATGAAAAAAATCTATAATGATATCTATACATTGAACTTCTGCAATTGGAACCCATTAATTTTGTTGCATGTGAAACTTCTAAAAGCAGAAAGGAGAAACAGTAGGACTTAAGATAGGATTCAGATAAGATTCTACAGCTTAACTTCACATCTCCCAAAACGGGCATGAAGATGCCCTGGAGCATTGCAAGATATTTTAAAATGTCAAGGGAAACACATACATATCTCTCAGATACCATGAGAAATATTAGTTGAAGGTAGTTCACAGTTTAAACATTAGGTTGGTACATTCCTTTTGATCATATATTGATCACATCATGTATTTGTGGTGCAGCATTTCTGGTTGTTACTGTGATAAAAATCAAGCTCAATGGATGTGCAATAGTATTCCAAGGTTTCAGAAGTAATACAATATGTAACAGGCACTAAATTGTTAGGGCCAGTCAAG